GGGCGAGGCGAAGGCAGTGGTCGAAGTAGAGGCAAAGCCAGAGGCTGAGGCTGAGGCCGAGGTCGTGGCAGAAGCAGAAGCAGAGGTAGAGGTAGAGGCGGAGGTGGAAGAGGTTGAGGTGAGAGAGGAGGAGGAGGTGTTGAGGCATGTGGCAGGTGAAGTTGAGGCTGCAGCACCTGCGCCGGATGGAGCAGAGGTGGTTGTGGTTGAGAATGTAGATCTTGATGTCGATGCTGAAGGAAATGTTCTAGATCGAAGATCAATTTTGTCTAAATTGGATGTGAAATCTTCGGACGGTTCGGAAATTTTCTCAGATGTAATTCGTAATTTTGACGCGGAATATGTTTGTTCTTCGTCGCCTTCCTTTGAATCTGCAGTTTACTTTGTTCCTGCTCTTCCTCATAGTGTTGAATCGTTATCCGTTGTTACTTCTCGTGATGTTCCTCCTGAGGATTCTTCTACTTATTTGGAACATTTACCAGGATTTGTTCCTGACGAATCTGGTTTTCCTTTTGTTTCTTCTACCATTTCTCCACCTCCTTCTGTATTATGCGCCGATAAGGTTTCTCATTCTTTAAATTTGTCCACTTCCGTCCTACATTCCTCACCTTTGAGTTTTGAATCTGTTGAAGAACGTCCTCCTATTTTTTCAAATGTTTTTTCAGCCTCTTTATCAAATCGTGTGGAAGATATCTTTGATGCTCATCCTGTGGAGTCTGCTATGCTTGTTTCCTCTGATATGCCATCTGAAATTTGTGTTCCAGTTTCGGACTCTAGCCGTTTCCTCACTAGTACTTCTCCTCCCTTGCTTCCAGTTTCTGATTTATTGATTCCTGTATCTCATCCCATTGGAATAGAAATTTTGGAAACTGAAGAAAGCAAAGCAACTCTTCCTTTACATCTTGGTTTAACCCACGATGATCTTCTCTATGTCGAACAAACGAAACCTTTGGAATACGCTACTGCAAAAGCTAAGTATTCACATCCTGAGGGAACTGGTCGTGATGTTCATGTTGGTCTTATCGGAAGTGCAGATGAAAGGACATCGGAAGTTAAGTCTCTTCCGCCTGGCCCATTACCTTTGCAGGCTGTTAGTGTGGAGACGGAAGATCATCTGTCCACTCTTCCAGGTGTGTCTACATCCTTAACTTCTGAGGCAGCAGTCTACATTGACAAAACTGGAAATGAGGTACCGATTGGCTTTTCTTCCACATCCACATCAGAATCTGTGAGGCCTCTTGCTGCAGATCACAATCTCACATGTGCTGCATTTTTAGCTGTCACAGAGTCTGAACACGTGGACTCCTTTGCTGCCTCTCAGAGGCCAAGCAGTATGCCTGAAGCTGTCTCCGCCGATAAATGCCTGAAGCGACATTCGTCAGTCTCTTCCTCTCGTAGTCTGATTGGAAGCGTTGAGACGCCACACGTTGCAAGATTCTTTGATTCTTCCTTAGAGATACGTGTCAAAATCCCTCGTCGCTTGTTCTATACTGCAAACACTCAAGAAGTGGTTTGGGAAGAAGTCGTTCTGTTTGATCACGGCCAAGAAAGCCCGCTTCCTTTCCCAAATGTCTCCGTAATCGTTCCTGTTCCTGAACCAAACTTGAGCGCTGCACCCCAGCGTTCCTTCGTTCAAGATGCTGAAAGAGAGCTACCAGTAGGAGAAAATAACGATCTAATTCCCACCTACGCTTCACTTCCGTGGCCGAAAACTAAAGACTATGAAGCCTCAAGCCATACAGACGGTGCTGAAGGTGCCGTTTTGGGTGCTTCAGCTCCGGAAATTTGCACAAATAAGGCAGACTTGGAGCCTTCTGCTGAGGTCATGAACTTACTCTCAGTGATACCAATCTCATCTGCTCCAGTCAGTAGTGAAGTGATGATGTCTGAAGTTTCAACAGCCGTTGAAAGTCTCTCTTCACCTGCCATTGCTTCAGCAACAAAGTCACACCAAGAACCCATAAGCAGTGAGTTGGATGTCTACATTCTTTCACCTTGTAGTTCGGAGGAAGGTAAAGCTGTTTCAGGTCCTATTAAGGATGAAACCAGTAAAAGTCAGTTTGCTTTAAGTGAATCCGCCATTCCAAGTGAAGAGAAGGTTGAAGAGTCTAATTGGGATGATTTATCACAGCTTGCAGCTGCAGCCGGTGCCACATTTGCTGCTGAATATGTCTCAGAGGACGATGAAGAGGAAGATGAAGATGATAGCTACGAATTCAAATCGGTTGATTTCAAGTCATCTAGACCTCGACCAGCGCCAGAAACAACGTTGGATCGTTCCTCACAGCTACTTTCAAGACTCAAGTTTTATGGTCTTGGTACTCAACAAGTCGCTCAGGCTTCACCACGTCTGTACGATGTAGAACGCGGTATGAGTAAAGACGTCGAAGAGAGCGAAAATGTTGAGAAACAGGTAGCTGAGGAAGTTACTCTCGATGATGAAGAAGAGGATGAGGAAGAACACCCTAAGATAATGGTAGAGGACCTGGATGACACACTTCCTACAATTCCAGAGGTTGCGGGGCTGTTGACACCAGAGGATGACGATTCATTAAATGACGATGAAATTCCGATGGACTTAAAGCTTGTTCCAGCTCATGAAGAGGATGAAGGAGAGGACACCTCTCTGATATGTTCTCGACCCATATCTGAGTATCTGCAGCAAATGCAATCGCTCTCAAGACTGTCTGCATCGTCGCAAAGAAGTTTGCTCACTGCAACGGCGACTGACGGTACTGAAGAGTCTAGCAAAGACAGTCAAGCAACAGTAATTCAGATTGGCAGTGATACCTTAACTAATGCTGACAAAGCTCAGGAGGCCTCAAGAACCACTCTTGCTTCACTTGACTCTGACCTTAACCTCCTCGACGAAACACGGCTATCCACCTCTGACAGTTTACCTCAGCTTCCCAGGGAAATCTTAGATGCTTCAAAGCAAGGACGAGTTGAACTTTCAACAGCTATGTCAACGGACCAAGTTATGGAGGATAAGTCAGCCGGCAGTCGCCATTTTGCAGACACAGTGTCTACACCAAGCATTCTGGAACGTTCAACATCAAGTGGAATTTACTGCCCTCAAAAGGGTCGACTTCAGGGTTTCCCAAGAAAGGGTGACCCCGGTGCTAGTGAACCTGTTCTTTCGAAATCTAAAGCTACTGCAAGTCAATCACCATCTTTGATAGAATTTGAGCGTTTAGAAAAACAAATGATAGCTAATTCATCTCCGGATTCTCTTCAAAAGACTTCGGGTGAGCAGAAAAGGAGTTCAAGCAGCAGGACTAGTAGTTCTCTCTCTGAATTTGAACGAATTGAGGCGGAAGCAACTAAATCATTCTCAGCGAGTAGTGGAGAAATGCCATCTGCTACTAAGGGAATAGGAGACGGTTCCATGTCTTCTCTCTCCGAATTTCTTCGTGCAGAACAGGAGTGCGCCAGTAGTCAGGAGTCTGTCCACCAGCAACCAATTGATTCGCAGCTGGCTGCATTGGCTCACAAGACTATTGGCACCATCTACGAAGACGTTCTAGCTGAACAGATGTGTCAGAGTGTCGAGACCTCCCGACTGACAGATTCCTCTGAGATTGCAGGTGATGCCGATTCACTGGTGCAATCCTCCATTCATGATTCACTTGCCAGCAGCTCTTGTCAACGCGAAATCCTACCGATTGACCTTATTCGCGATGTCATTCGTGGTGCTCGTGATGTTCTTGAACAACGTTACCCTCGAGACCGTGATTCTCTGGGAGAAGCAGACTCCTCGGAAGAAGACTTTCCTCAAGTTATGGAGACATCTACAGATTCTCTTGAAGGTCTCCAACAGCATAGTCAACACGGGCAATGGGGAGACAGCTCACTGTCATCAGAGGCTAATTACAGTCGTAACATGACTGATTCTTTGGAAGACAGTGGTGCTGCGATGGCCAGTGGAAGTAGGGCCTCAACACAGCCTCCATCTCAATCTGAGGTTCTTTTTCTACCTCTTCTTGGTCCACCTCCAATACCGATACAGTCCAGCGAACTGCCACAGTTATCTATTCCTCGTTCCACTAGTGGAGATGAAGCTTTGTTGAAAAAGGTAGACATCGATGAGGATGCAGCACTTAAACGATTACCAGTTTCAGTGAGTATCACCTCTCTCAACCTGGCTCAAGAGCAAATACCTATTTCTCAGACCGACTCAAATTTGGGTTCTACAGTTTTCGACATTTCCGAGGATGAATTCAAAGGACCTGTGCATCCGGGTGCCTTGGTGACCGAAAGTTCTCTAAAGAGCCTTTCTTCCTCCCCTGTTCTCAGCCATGAAAAAGACGTTGAAGCCATCCCGGAAATACCCTCATCCATTACCCCGATGGCTGAGTCCTTTGGTCCAAAGGATATTTCCACACCAACGGTGGCGGAACCTGACTTTGCAGTTGAAGAGGAAATTGGAAAGGACTTTGAAATCATCCGAACTGCTGATTACGATTTTCAACACGAGCAAAAATGAATTCGTAGCGATAATTTCGATGAATCATCCACCCTTCCCACCATCTTTTCACATGGATGGTGAGGTTAAACAAGCCTTTGTCAGCCATTCCTTTCGGCTCGTGATTGCTTTAGTCATGAGTACCTTAAACTCAGCAAAGATGTCAAATCCCATTGTTTCAAATTTTGCTTGCTTTCGATATTTTTGCATTTCATCAAATAGCGCTGGTAAGATTGTTTTTTTACACTAAAATGTGAAGTGAAGATCACTGAGCTCAGGACATTCCCAGTTAACAGAAGTTATTCCAAAAACACAAAACTTGCTCTTATACACTCATTACGATTTGGGAACTGAACAATCTTCCCACTGCAGCATTGCTCTTTCGTCAGGTCTGGAAGAGTGGCTAGTCGTCTTGGTGAAGATAACAGGCTTATCCGCCCCCACCTTACCTAAGGCCAAATTCCACTTCCCCTTTCCTCCCCCTTCCGTAGATTTTCCACTTCCCCTCCTCCCCAGCCCCCATTCTCTAGGTTCGGCATGAGAACTCGCATGCACTGTGTCTGGTGAACGGATCTACGCCTACCGGTCACGCGCTATTCACAATGTGTCCGTGTTGGACCTCCTCATTGCCTCTCTCAAACCCCTCGTTCAAGCTGCATGGAGGTACGCGCTTCTGTCTTCGATTTTCTTTCTTTTTTGTGTCACTCTTCTGCGAATTTACACTTTCACTGTTGTTACTGCTTGTTTGCATGTCATTGATTAGGGTAGATGCGTTTGTTTGATTTGGATAATTCTCTTATGTCTGTGCTGGGTTGCTAAAGCATATTGAACAGGAAGGTTAATGAAGAAGTACTAAATGGCGGCGTGAGAGCGTTAATAGTTTCACTTGGCACAGAATAAAGCTGCTTTTCTGCTAGAGATTTTGCAGCAAAAGCAAGGCTTGCGAATTACTTTTGATGGTACGTTGCACTACCATAAAAATCTACTACTTCGTATAATCTTTACCAATTTGAAAGCTTACCTGGTTTACTGTAATACGCATCTCTTACCTAGTGCGCGGATTTAGTCTGTTACAGTAGTACTTACTTTTTTCAAAAGCTTGCGCTGATATGTGAAAGAAAGAGCGACTGAGTCTCAAAATTGAAATCACATTTTTTGCTGCCGTATGCTTGATGCTAATCTGTAAATGCATGGAGCTTTCCAGCAAGAACTTATCGCTACTTGTCATTAGAAGCGTAGCAGTGATTCGTTATCTTCAGCTCCCTACCCACTACACATTGCTCCACCGACCTCCGTTATGTGAAAGATAGCCATTTTCTTTGTTGTTGAGCTTATGTGCGTGTTTTGTTGTTTCTTTCCTTATCACAAGTTTTATCAAATCTCATCACTACTTTTCTTCTTATCCCGCCAGACTGAGCATAACTTTCTCCACAATCGAGCTTTTGCTCCATCTCCTCATCCTTCACCTCTCACTTGCAAGGAGGAGAAAGTTTCGAAAATTGCCAGACTCGCCTACATGGATTTCAACTTTCGCATACCTTTTGTCCACTCCTCCCTTTCTCACACGTACCTTCGATCCACACTCCTGCTTTCCAGCTTGTAATCTTCAATGCTTTTTTGACTCTTTTTGCTCCAGCGTGTGAAATGCCGATCTGCTACGCCTACATACAGTATGTGCATTACGAATGCAAAATTCAGTCTAGGTTTCTCTTCTTGTTACTCCTATCGACGTCCCTATCCCACACATGCCTCTTTTGTTTGCTTTGTGCTAATTTTGGTTTTCAATTGTTCTATACACAGAAATATAGAAATGCTACCAATACAAACACCTGCTCTTCATCGTGGGCTAAGTTGCTGCTCTCAGGTCATTTGATCCATCACTTACATAGCTAAAACTATGCTAGTACGATAAAGTTATATTCAATTTAGTTGTTTTTCTCGTAAAAGACTTCACTGCTTTTATAATAGACTTAATGTTCGGAAGTGAATTAACTTCTATCTTATTTAAAAATAGCAACATATCAAATGCAGACACAAGGGAGCAAGGTTACCCGTTTGGAACCAACCGCAGCAAATGGCATTATGCCAACTGCTAGGAATAAGTATGGTTCCTTTATGATTGCTTGAAGTCTTGCGTGATTTTCACTTGAACACCTTTGAGCGCCACAAAGCTTGCACATGTACGTCAAGCCATCCCACTGAGCTGCAGAACAAGGTTCTAAATTGCTGAACAAAGTAAGAATGAGGTTCTTAAGCTACTGTTAAATTCTTCAGTTAGTCTTTAACTTTGCTGCGGCAGCTCACTCACTCGTCTTCAATTCACCGTACTATGGACGCCTACTGCAGTCTTATGGCAGAGGACCGTAAGTAAGACATCATCCACCCTCATCCTGCAGTGCGCCTCTCATTGAGAATTTTGTATATGGTTTTAACCCAAAACATGGTTTGTATAAGGGTCTCAGAAAAGTGTATCTCTTTTATTGTTTCATCAAGTGTGATGACATATGCGGATTGGAGTCGCTGCTGTAATTCGGACAAGTGGGGTGCTAAAATCCAGCTAACTAGCACCGACTTTAAGCGTACGGTACAGATTTTATAAACAACAAAATTTTGTGCGCTAGCATTAAAGGAAATGATAATTGAGCTCGAGATCTGAAAGCTCATCCTTAGTTAACCATTATTGTAGGATAATAGTATAATATAGTAATACTATGTCGTGTTAATGGTTTGGCCCGCAGTTAATTTAAACACACATGCCTACATCAGTCAGCTCAATCCCAAAAACTAAGTCCTTTGAAACCAGCAGCATCGTCATTTAGATGGACTTTGCATCCATACGTTTGAAGTGCTCAACTTAACATCAAAGTGCCTAAAGGTTTTCATTTGAGAAAATACTTGGATGCCTCTAGTAACTTTTGATGCCTCTGAAGAAGCATCACAACATTCCAAACTTAGAGCTCAGTTTAATGCAAACTGTTCGAAATGATAAAGGGAAGGCTTATGCTAAAACTTCACCTGACTTTCGTTTGGAAATTACTGCTGAGCAATGGCAGGCCTGTTATTATCCTCCCAAAACTTATTCTCAAGTTCGCAAGGACCCTTTCGCATGATGTGTAACAAAGATTTCTAAAAGAAGCATTTATGCCCTTTCCAAGCGTACAAATAGCTTTGATTTGTGTGGATATATTCTATGGATTAAACTTACCTACGAGGGGAACATGCTGAACAGTTGGCTGAGAAGGTCGTACGGAAGATTTCGAATTTGAAATATCAGGTGTATCAGTGCTGGGCTTATTTGCGAATTCTTTGAATTCCGGCGATTTAGTTCTCTTTAAAGTACCCGAGCTCTGATCCACCTGTTTGCATTTTATGGAGCAAGGCCTTTATAATGTCCAATATGTAATGCTATTTGGAATCTCTCATGTGCTCGTGTAGTGCTAAAGATCCCACCTTCACTACTAGTGTACCGTCGCGTTGCTGTTCTATGTTGGCATAGTTGTTGTAGCTGGTTTTTCACTTGACGTTTTGCTAATACATGAAAATCCGTTCTCTACGAAGCTTTTACAAGACTAGTTGCCAGGGTATGACTCCAGTTGTTAGACGATTTCTAATCCCTCTAAGAATCACTACAAGTAGGCGAGAGTGTTTCTAAGGCTAGGGACTGCCAATTCTTATTTTACCACAGCCGGTATTACCTTGGTCCGTGTACCATTTTGACCTCCTGAGAATTCCGGTTGGCAAATAGATCCATGTGGCGCAGCGTGAATTACTTGCCAAAGTGCCACTCAGGGCAGCAGCGGCAGCAACTACAAGCAGATCCAAATATTGAGAGCCCCATTTCCTTTATAAAAAATGAAGGAGCTAAAAAGTTAATTTAGTCAGGAAAGAATTGTTTCCTTGGGGGGAAAAAAAGTTGACAGGCAAAAGCTACGGGTGTTTGCTATTTACTTTCAAATGCATACCATTCCCAAACCTTTTCTGAAGATGCATTCTACTCACTGGGATTGGCCGGTAAAGAGTTTAATAACGTGTTGGGCTTTATGACTCTGAATATCTGCATTTCTCAGATGGGTTTGGCTACACGACTGAAGGGTTTCGATTGATCCGGACTCTGCTTTCGTCAACCAATTAAGGGACGCTAAAGGATGAGGACGTGAACTGTATTATTAGCTCGTGGATGATACAATTTGATTACTCTGACAAATTTTACATAAGCCCACCAGGCCTGGCTTCAAGCCTTACAATGTAACGGAATTCCTAATAATAATAACATAGACAGCTGTTACTTCGCGCAAGTGTGCGAAAAAATTAAATCCTGCAAATCACACGAGCCTTAAGGTCACAGTAACCCTTATTAGCCGGTGAATAATAGAAGCTGTGTACGGGCATAATTGAAGTCGCGTAAGCTCACGTCTGGCGGCCAGTGCGTTCAAGTAAAAATTGTAGACCCAAAAGGAGGCTAAGAACGTCTTCTCCTGAGGTAATACAAGATCACAAAAGGCTGACATTTGGAAATGCGCTTGTGAGTGATGAGTGCCTTTGAAAAGCTGTCTTTAGACACTGCACCTGGGGTTCCCTTATAGAGGTGACAGCAATTTCCTCTGGTCTGCGGACCCTCTATTCTCTCGCAGTTCGCCCTGAATACCCTCAGCAGATGTTAGCTTTTATAGGTTGAGCGAAATGAATTCCACCTTTAAAGCAGCGAATTGTCTTTTTACAGAAATTTCAAATGCTTGCTGGTTTACAAGCAGATTTGCTGAAAAGCAATAGTGATTTCCACCCAATTTCTGCTCTCTGTATTCTTCATTCTGCATCACTGATGTGATTTAATTGGCATTTGTCCTTACTGTTACCTGGTTCGTTGAGATCATTGGAAAGAATCACAGAGGCTTTAGAGGAAACACCTCTCCACTCTTCGGTTGCTTACCCCATGGGTTCAAGTAGACGCTTCCTCCCGGTTAAACGTGAAAAGGAGCACCGCACGACTACGAGGACATGATTTTGTTGCGAATTTATAAGCATTGCACTTCTTTATGGATTTCAAAATAAATTCTGCAGTGTGAACTCCTCGACCCTCTTTTTCCGAAATCTATCTTCCTATTTTGTTATGGAACTTTGAAACTTCCAATAATGCACTTCATTACCTAGTCGAGTTTGAACTGTCGACACGACTAATGTAGATATCACCCTTTTTATACAAAGTATGCCTTTTCCTCCCCTCATTTTTATTCCGAAGCTCTTATTTAAATATTGGACTACATTTCAAATGCTTCTAAGTACTCCCTTTTAAACATCCCGCGAGTCCCAACTTTGATGCTGAAGAGCACTACGAGACTCACGAAAGTGACCTCCATCACATTGAAAAGTAAGTACTGCAGTAATGCAAATACACGTTTTCGCTTTTCCCAGACTTTGTGAGCACTGCAACATGCTTTTACACTTTGAACCTCGCCAGGTTCTATCTGGCGGTAAGAAATTTTGCTTGTCTGAATTTTGGGCCACCTATCGCACGCTTTTGTTACTTCATAAGGATAGAATTCACGAGGATGAGATCATTAGCAGTAAGTCCTTTGTTCATAGTAGCTCTTCATCTTATACCTACTGGGCCCCAGATCAGGTGCCTTAGTTCCCTAATGCTGGTCTGCCTATCAGGAGAATGGGCAGGGACTTCAAGTGGCTATCAAGCGCTGGAGAAGAGAATGCCGTCAAGTATCACAAGCTACGGCCGAAACAAGACGTTGTGCTCGTACTCAAGCATAATGATATTTCATTCAATAAAGTACAAGTAGACCTAAAAGGCATCCACTCTAACAAGGAGTGGAAAAGTGAATTAAAGAAACCGAAGATTAAAAGTACAAGAGGCACGCAGTGTCCAGGCGGTGGGAATTTTGAGATGTTGAGAACAGAAAGGTCGGAATTTACTTTAAACTGACTCGTGCCTACATTGCTCTTCGTCAACCATTTCCGTTCACACTCGACTATGAAAAGGAAACATTTATGGTCAATTGCTTTTTGTTGGTTTTTTCAACACAATCTCCAAATTGCCGATCACGTGTTCTTGGTTAGCAGTGTTGGTGATATTTATTCATCGTGGAAACCTCATTCGAGCTAACTGTTGTTAACATCCCATCTCTTTCTTTTTTTTCAGTTATTTAACACAGAACTTAAACAAATATAGGGAGAGATAAAGAATTGCCCTACCATCGTGGTGTGGGTGTTCTTGATGTCCCAATATTGTATGAGTTCAGTGATTCCGAAGGAATTCTGTCAACACAGTGCACCGCCGTATCATCAACTTCCTCCATCTTCGGAAGGCGATGCTTTGTGCATTGAAGAATGCTCGGTGCAGCGTGCATGACCACGGCGTTCATTTCCGTCGTAGTGACATTTGCACGCTTTAGGACCCATTTCAGCGACTTCAACTCTCCCAGTGGCACACTTTTTTGGCTGTTATGCAAGTGGTGAGCTGGAGAGAGTGAACGGGGTGTCCGGTGGACCGATGACGAAATATTTGCGACTTCTACCAGAACCTCATCACTCTCCTGCAGTGTGTGGATGATGGGTTCTAATGACGCAGCACCTTCGACTCCAACGGCGAATATGGTCTGTAAAGGCTCTATTTTTTCATTCAGGCCTTTCTTCTCAATCTTACCTAACTTTATGTTGCTCACGTCCCCCGAATATGGATTGATCGGGTTGAGGCAAGATCTTAAGAAGAAATAGGTTTTATCAGAAGCACAGTTCTATGCATTCCTCTATGCAAATAAGTGCAGACGACTCTCAATTTCTCGGTGATGAAGAAGGGTCTGTTAATGATTACAGTTTGGGAATTTGGACCTTTGTTTGAAGTCTGATAAGCTGCTTAGGCGTCGAATTCTAGCTTATTTCACAATAGTCTCAGATACTCAACAAGCAAACTGAGCGTGCATAGTGCATGACCTACGTGCGAGCATAGGAAGATGTTACTTTGGTCTCGGGCTTTGGTGGTTCTAAAAGCTTTGGCATAAGCACATTTTTGGACACTCCTTGAGGTCCTGTAAATGCATTTCCATCGCCTAATAGCCTCTCAATCGTTGTCGTATTGGGATGAAGGGCAGAATTAGCAATTGCATTCACCTCAGGTGAATCGTTCCCCTTGAATAATAAGTTCCTACCATTTTGTCCCTTCTTTTGACCCAACAAACCTGGTGAAGTTGTCGAAAGACTACATTCAGAGATTGGTGAGAGACATGGTGGTGGAGTAATGTGAGTCAGGGTATTTTGGATTTTCTTTTCATCAAATTCCATTTCCTGCTTCTCCTTCCCTTCTCTTTCCCGATAGCTAATAAAACCCTTCTTGAATTCACCTCCTTCATTCGCAGCAGCATCATAGATCTCTGAGACGTCAGTGAGCTGATCGTCGAGGATACAGGAATCTAAATTGGGCATTAGATTGTCACTGCCAGTGGAGAATGTTGTCACACTTCGACTGCAGTTAGTTAGAGATTCGCTAAAGGAGTTGGTTGTAGAGCTGTGATAAGGCGTTACTATTTCGCGTTTCGTACCAACACATGTAGTAGGAGTTGCTGCAGGATGGATCAGAATGGCGAGGCGAACCTTAAAGAAGCACATAGACGCAAAATGCTTCATTCAAATTACAAGTTACAGTCGAATGCGATACGGAAGCGAATTTAAAATCAACAACTGACCAATTCCTCCAAAAGGAGATTTGCTGAAAAAAATTGTTAATTTTATCAAAACAGATATCAACATCTGGAGATCATTTGAAAAACATGTGGTTCTTCAATAAGCACCGAATGATAGTGGTTTTGCATATCTATCGGCTAACCTTTTTGTGCACCTGATGTTCGTTGGGTTCCTTGTAGGCGCTCTGTCTGAGCGTAACTTCAGAGGTGGTTTTACAACTGGGAACCGTCACCTGAAGGGTCTCTGTGGCCCCTGCAGCGACGACTGAAGAGACAGGAGCTGCTTCATCGCTTCCAATATGTGGTCGGGTCGCATCAGCAAAGTTTCTATCGCATGTGGAGTTCGAAGCATCGACGATTGGAGTACATGTAGCCTCATTATCAGCGTCCTTACCCTTTTCAAAATTGAAGACGTTCTGTTGACCTTGCTGCTGTTGGGACTGTGGACACGTTGAATTCGAGATTTTGTAACATGGTTTTGTCTCTAAGATAGGAGTGAGGCGAGAGATAGACCTCAATGGTGGAGAGGTTAAATCGGATGAGCTAAAACGAGAAAAATGTTAAGCGTTGACCCGAAAAATGTGAAGGCAAACACCCAAGAAGTTATTTGTTATTAGCGTGGTGTAATAGGAGACATTAATCGACCACACATGCATGCATTAAGTACTTGAAGAGAACATCTGAGTAACTAATAATTAGGTTTTACAGTGGGACTCTATGCTTACTTGAGTGCATACGAACCCCATAATTTTTTATGTAAGTGGAAAATTGGTAATGTCATCTGATCGGAATAGCATTTCTTTGCGATGAAAGATTGTACAGAAAGAACTGTAAATATTTTACTAATCTTAGACGTATTGAGTCAAGTGGCATGGGTCTTCAGATAACTCATGCTATGCGCAAAAGTAGACACAGTCCGGTTTAGTCATGCCAAAATCATAAAATGCATAATCAAAGCAGCAGGTTAATATCATGCAACTTTCACCAACAATTTGAATTATAGACCTATTCCAGATTAATACAAACGAAGTAATGAAAAGATTGTAAGTTAAACTACTGGCACAGCACCAATGATTGCACAAATGGAAATTTTCGCATTGGAAAACCACCTTGTCTGCGTCATTTCGGCTATTTTTGACACAGTTTCACAGAGATCGCAGTGTTCGTCTCCTGATTCGAATGGAGCGATGTACTGTGGCGGGTGAATCACCATGGCCAAAGAGGGGTAGATAGTTATTCCATGAATGCATTTTCCTCGTCGGATAATTCGATAAGTGGGCTTGCAAGGATGGACTGCCGACGCTTCACTTCCTTCCCCACCTTTATAACCTTCATTCCATTGGTTGGCTCCAATCTGGAGGGTGTCAGAATAACACTTGACTGGAACAGCATTAGTGACTGCTTCCTGCAGAGTTACGGGTGGACAATTGGATGAGAGTGGTGTATAGGTAGAAGAGAAGCTCTTAAAATGATTCAATAAGCTGGAGTCATCCACAGTATTGTAAGTACCATTCCTTTAGACGCATCAAACAACCACATTTTAGTCTGTTTTTTCATGGAAGTATTCATTAGCAGGAACCGTCACTTAGGTAAATGTGCTAAATCATGCCTAGTTGTTTAGATTACATTCAACATTCTGGTCGAGTTCCACCACAAACTAGTCGAGACAATTAATTGATCGTGATAAAGAGAAGGTCAATGTTTCAAATTACTTAGCCGTGCGACATCAACTTTAAAAATCAGTTTAATTTGAAATAAAAATAATGAAATCCGTCTTGTGGTCCTCGCAAGGACAAAGTTGCATCAACTGGCAACGAATGTTGGTGGTGCGTGACCGTACCTTTATCAGTGGATCTCCTCTGGAACGTACTACGTACCGCGGTAGCCGCGAAACTGAAACGCGAAACAAATGGACGATTTTCTTGGAGAGTGGGCCTACTCTGTTGTAATTAATCCTAGCAGTAGGCCATTGGATTTACTTTTACGCATAGCTTGATAAGGAATAAGGAATCATGGGGAAAAAATACTTATTCGCTAGTTGAATTACATTCTAGACGGGTATGTTTCCTCAATTTCAAAATGGAGAATACCAATGGTACACAAGCTATGGTGCACTAGCAAGCTTAAAAAGTTTACTCTAACTGGCGTTGGCCTTAAAAAATGACCACAGGCACTACTTCTTCAATATTTGGTGTCCTTCAAACCCGACTTACTACCTTTTATAGGATTCGTAAGTTTATTCGCATAATGCTGTATAGACACAAAATTAGTACGATGGACCCACCGGGCTGGCGTCGCTTTATAGCAAAAGAGACGTCATACGTTGGCCTTGAAGGAGCGAAATTGAAATTATGAGCAGGTAGTGGGTCGATGGTGGTGAGACCGCGTGCTTTGATGAACTGAAGAGCTTCAAAAGGGGTCATCCCGCTGAGAGGTTCATGTAGCCGTCTTAATGTTTTGACACGATTCTGCTTACATATTTGGGTTGCTAGTTCATCGATTCGGCAGCGCTGAAAGGCGTTCCTGGGCTCCGCTCCTGTCAAATTACGTGCCCTTGCCTCGGTAAACGATGATGAGCATGGGCTGGGCTCCATCACGTCGCCTTGCTGAATCATTCTGTTAGCAATTCTCTTATTGAGTTAAATTGTCCAACAGCTAACATGAGAGGCTAGGCTGAACGCTATTGAACCTCGAGTAATGAGCGGTTTACAGATCTTTCACTACTGGCAAAAACAACGCTGACCAAAAAATAATTGAAGTCTTTCGTCCAAATCAGGTAGCCAACAGCCCTTATGAATGACTACATGGAAGCCCTCTCCTCCCACATTTGTATGAGACTGGCTGCCTATGGTGCCTCGAAATGCCACAAACGTAGACTGATTTCTCAAGCGCTATGTGTAAAATCATGGAAAGACATGATGCTTTTACTTAGTAAAACAGTGAAGGTTGTCTAATCCACTGTATTGCGTCGTAAGGTGAACTTACAATAACTAACTGCTACGAGTTTGAAACATCGATGAAAGGATGATTTCAAAATCTTGAAGAATGTATGACAAAAGAGTATCAAGATGTCGACAACAGAAGAGCCTACTTAGCAGATGTCATTTCACATTCGTCATTTGAATAGAACATACCGAGTTTGGTGGTAGTCGCAAGAAATGCCTAACGAGATCGTGAATGCGATCGATCCACGAGCAACGCACGTGGGGTTGTGAGGTTCAACGTGCAATCCTAAACCCAGTGCAGTGTTAATGGCTGCGCATCGTACAAGGCCAGTCAACCTCCTTACAGAAAACCAAGCACTCGCCAATACAATCAAAACCTCAAACATCGTCCAAGTAGAGTCTCCTGGCGGGAATGTATTCTGAAATAGAGCTACACGTTTGGCGTCCGGCAGAATATACCCGAAAATGCCGAGCATCCGTCCTGATGCATTGAGACACCACCGGTACTAAATTAATCTGATTTCTAAAGTTAAAGCATCAAAAGCAGCCTCCAGTCGAAGAAATCACAAACAAACCGAGATATTAGTGCAGAGAGCCCCGTTCTAGGCACAACGCAGGTTGACAGCATGGCTGAAACTATCAAGGTTCTGAAGCACCTCAACAAATAGTATTACAGAAGCAATTAGATGTTAAATTTGTACATTTAAAATGGATTGCCTAGCCACCAACGGAGGGCAGTTTCAAGCTGTCACAAGAGTCCCATTACTTATACGGTAATTTCACCGTTCCAAGGCAAAAGACAGACCTATCTTTGAGCATTATAGTGATATTAGCAATGCAATAGAACAGAAAGAAGAGAAGAAAGGCACAATAAAGTAACAGCAGGTATAGTAATGCAACAGCGTCGTTCCTTCCACTTAGACTATGATGGTTTATACAGACAAGGAAACCAAGCACGAGAATAGGCCAGATATTTATACACTGAGGTGGTAAGAACGGGAAGAAAAATCACAGTGCTTTCGTTTCTGAAAGCGAAGGAGTGGAACATGAAGCGCCAGTTTGGGTAGTCTCAGGAACGCCGTTGCCACCAGAGGCCGAGACACACCGCAGTAAGGAGGGAAAAGGTTCCAAGAACGAAGAGAACGGCCTCGGTGAGATTGTTGAAGAGGCCGGTGCGAGTAAAGAAGGTCCGCAGAGGCTGTGCGATGCACTCAGGGAGCCACCGGTGGCGCAGCATATTCTTATCTGCCATTCGCGCCGTAATCTCTGCCAGACGGGTGCGTGTTCTTGCCTGACGCGCAAGACGCGCCCCCCGAAGATGCCGAATCAACACCAACTTCTCCCGTTCCTCGGTCTCCTCTTCATCTTCGACCACGTTTTCTGTCTCAGTTTGAGCTAAAGGTACATCCTGCGCCAGTAAAGAGGTGGGGGCATTCACATCTTGAACTGCGGTGTCCGGCAAAGATTGGAATACGCCTACTTTCATTTGATCACTTCCATTGGCTTGAAGTGGTACAAAGTTGAGGGACATCACAGTGCTGAAGAAATGACAAATATCAATAAAAAGTGAATTTACCAGTGTTAGTTTATTTTTAGGGCAAACGGAAAGCAGCGAGGACAAGTCACTCTTCGATATCAACACCATACAAGAGAAGTCATGAAAGCATGAAATCCTAAAATAGATTTATGCTAGGAGTACGGAGAAAGATAGTCGGAAGAGTATCAATTAGGTAAGCCTCAGGCTTTGTCAGCAAGCTAAAGGCTCAAGGCTAGCTTCATCTAGAAGGACGCATTCGACAATAACGAATTCATTACGAAACTGGAGTTGTGTTGAAAGAAGGATAACTTCATTCTTGATCACCTTAAGTATTAGGAAAAGGTCCTTCATTTAGTTTAAAGTTTGTACGAATTTGGACAGCACAAAAGATGCCAGAGTATTCAAGATAATGGAATAAATCTGCAAAGCAGGTAGTAGAGATAAAGCAAAAATGTGGCAAAGTAAGTCAGAGCAGCAGAGACAACGTTGATGAAAAGCAGGTTAGCACCAGGCGCTTGCAGAACTCAGAAGAAAAAGGTAAATTTTTTTGCCTCGTTTATTAAATAAAAAATGAGGACAGAGAGATCAGGGGTGGTGGCCACTGACTGGTCATATCGACCATTATCAATTGTTCCTCGAGGACGTACGTTTTTCGAAATGCTTCAATAATAAAATTTTCCAAAGATAATAAGTGGAGCTGGAGGAGAGAATGTAGGATCCACAGCAATCATCATTAAAGAGGAAATCGGTATCAAATTCTACTGTATTTGAAAGGAACGAGACGCTAATGGTCGATGAACTTCAATCAGTTTATGTAACTGCTAAAAAAAACAAACAATTGGAAATGGAGATGAGGTGAGAAGTTCCACGAATCGAATTTGCGCTCGTGTAGTAAAAAAACTAAAAAGATAGGATGAAGTCTCAGAACGGTTAGTTCAATTTACAAGTAATGAGACGAAATGCTTTGATAACAAGAACAACTGGGAAGTGAACAAGACAATAGCGGCATTAACAAATTACTAGATTTGCTCAGTGGAATAAATGCTACAAGCCAGAAATAGTGATGACAGCTAAAGGTACGATTACCAAATTTTGTCAACGCCACCACCGCCAAGATATTCGGTTAGAGTACAAGAGCAATGTGGTTTCAAAAATTGCTGTTTTAGAAGTTCAACAACTTATGTAGTTGCCTAAACACAATGTCTGAAAATAGAGGGGAGTGGAGGAGTGACGGTGGACGAAAATAACAGAGCAGTAGAGGCTGGGACCTCGAGAAAATCTCACGCAAGTAGATCTCCATCGCTTGGGTTGATGAGTCAGCTGCGCGGTAACACACCTGCTATCCCGGCATCAAATCTCTTCGCATTTGCCTAAGCCCAGTGATCGACCAACTGAGACAATTGAAAGCCGGTAAATATTTGCCAACTAGAAGTCAGTTGTCATAACATGAGAGGTGGATGAGCCTGCCAAAGTGTACTTATGCGTACCGAGCCTTTTAATTTGTGCCTACAAAATCAACTAAAGGTAAGCAATAAGTATCCTGCCAGTGGTTAGGTACTCTTGAAACGAAAAATAAATCCTTTTTCGTCGATCGACTTGCTTGAAATGAGGAGAACAATGGGACTGTAGGTTTTGAAACATGACCCCAGCCGAACTCAGAATGTCACAGTGCACGTCCCACAACTGAGTGATTGGATGTCAACAGCTAGTAAATTGGTTTTGAGTCTACTTTATATTAGGTCGAACGATCAACAAGACCTTTGAAGGGTAGACGACTCTACATAACACGTGGATGCTAGCAAATCAAGGAAATAGGGGAGTGCAACAAATCACACGGCCAATGGATTCAAGGCTATTGGTTATAAAAATAAAGCAAAAGCATGAAGGAGACCTGCGTCACTGCACTAAAATATACAAAACTTTTGGACCCCACAATGCATAAATAATCGTGCATAATCTTCAAAGTATTTGACTTTCGTAGCAGTGATACGCAAGATATGTAAACCGAGAACGAAATGGCTCGTTGATCATATGAACATACACAATGAGCCGTTTGTTACCATCCATAACGAGGACCAACCGCAACTACTGGCGACTAATGCGCCTACGAGCCGTGAATCATCGGGCCAAGCATCATAATAAAACACGGCCCAGGCAGTTAGCACGTTTCAGCACATTTCTGTGTGCTCCATTGTAGAGGAGATAATACGCACATTTGCAAATGCAATAGTGCAGTGGTCACGAGCCAAAAAAAGGATACCTTATAAATCTTATAGTATGCTGCTTTGTACTGTTCGACAAGAATACTCTAGTAATGAACAACGGAAAATGGAAGAATTCAATTAAAACTGAAATAAACCCAAAACTTACAATTATTAATGGACATCATTAAAAGCAGATCGACTATAACTGGACATTAGAAGTTCCGAGTAAAAATGCACGCTCAAAAATTAAAAAAATAAACTAAAACATCAAACCTCTCTTTGATTTCGCCAGGCTGGGCCTTTTCAATTTCAATGAGCGGAGATGAGAGGTGGTTCTGATGCCAAGAGCGATGATAGCAATTCGATTTCTGACAGCTCTGATCAAACAACCCCCTAATTTCCACATCCTCGTCTGTGGAGGCGGAAGATGAAGAGTTAAGAGAGCCGAGAAAGAAGGAGTGGAGAGCGGTTCCTCCCTCAGATCTGCACATCCGAAGGTGGCTTAGAATCTTTCGTTCATCGGCCTGTATGTTCACATCCGTGGCCGCTACGTCGTTTATCTCAGCGTCTCCTTCACTGTCAAATTCTTCGTCACTGTCACTCCCGCCATCCTCGTCGGCAGAGAGTTGATTTTGGTCAGAAAACTATGGATGGAGAAAAGAGAACTGATCTTACTCAGACTTATAACAAAACCTCAAGATGCATTTGAGGTAAGCGTTTGTTAAACCAAGCAATCATAGTGGCGTCACATTTGAGCAAAGGAAATTGTAATCTCTCCTACTCCCGACAAGCCAAAAACCAGCAACGCCACTCTGCAAGTGAAAGAAAACCGGTCTACACATTACTTTTCTCCAGTGATTCGCAAAGAATGACCAACAAGGACTATTTCTTTGTATGCATACGTATGCTTACAAGCAAACAATGCGCATTAGTATTGACAAGTGGAAAATGGCTTTTATATCCGAGTTCAAAACTCTAGAGAATAACAATTGCGAGAGGAGTAACTTAATAATAGGAGGAGGGGTTTAAGCGAAAGGCCACTACATGGTTGGAAATTAAGCCAAAACATTTGATTCAATGAAGAACCAAAAATCATAGGAGACGCAGAGCTGCAAACGTATGCACCTTCTGCCCAGGATCGCATACGGCTAACCATGATCGCGCAATAGGTGGCCATCTATTCGGCTGTCTTTGGAACGACTTGCTTATAAGTATCTCACAGTGAATAAAGTTAATTTTAAAACAACTATAAATCCTCGACACATGCGCTTCATCATTAAAGTAACGAGCAAAGAGGATAATGTGAAAGTAATTAAACGGATCCGTTACCATCACCGCAAGTCGATGCTCTAATGGTAAGAAGAGATAAAATCATTAATTTGTGGCTGAGTGGAAGAGAGGACACAGACTATGAAAGAAATAACATAACAATGAGAACGCAACACTGCCGAAATGCAAATTCACAAGAAGCTTGGGAAAAATCAAATTCGGAATGGCATGATATAAGGAACAGCAACGCAACCAAAACGCGGCTACCATGTAGGTGTAGTTAGAAACACAGGAAGCCGACTTAAGATAGGAAAACCTCTTGCAAATAAGGCGATACTTTCAAGTTCATAAACGGGTCATACAGAAAAGCCAACTGCTTCCAAAATAAGCAGATAGCAACATACTAAACCACTCATTGTGAAAGGGAAGACTACAGTAAAATCTATTCTTTCTTTGGAGGACATGGACTAACCAGAAAAGTGTGGGGAGCATCAGCCATAGAATAAATCAAATCTGAATTATCTTGATGAAAGACCTCAAAAGTAGTTCAGATACCACCCATATAATAATACTAATAATGGTAATAATGAAATCACGGTCGATGAATGTGCATTAACGTAGACAATTCGAAATTTGAATGAGCAAAGGCAGGAATAATCTAGACTCAGCTCCAGAACACAGCCGTAAAGGAGCCATAGGAATCACGAAAGTTCAAGGGAGAAATAAGGTAGCACAAGTGAATTAAGCAAGTTTAAATATCATTCCTCAAAAAATTAGATTACAAAAACAGGAGAAGTGCGTAAATTTAAATGAACTTACGACTAGAGTAGCACGCTCTTCGGGTAATGTGGAGAGAAGGAGTTTTCCACCGTCAATGACAGCCGCGTAGCAGTAGCGCAGCTGTTGCGCTGTCTGGATGATGCCCATACGACATTGACGTAGCTGTATCAACAACTTCGGTAGATCAACACCCTCCATACTGTTTTGTTTCTCGATCTACGAGGCCAAAAAGTGAGAATAGATGGATGATCATGTTGCGAATATCCCAATGGTGCAGCTATTCGACATGAAGTATTTGATACATCATACCTCAGATTTGACCGCTGTATGTGAGATAAAATTCAGAGCATGACTGAGCATCATGCAAGTAAGAAGCGTCTTGAAGCTAGTTAGCTAGTGAGATTTGTGTACATAATAAAAATAAAATAATTTGCATTGGACAAAACGGATAAATATTTGCCCGATTTGCACCTTGATGATTCAGGAGAAATCACGAGTACAAGAAATCTTTACGAACAGAACACAATGGCAAGATGTAAAGTGCTTCTAAGGTATCGTAGACTTGGAGGATGAGGCTACACCCCGTGACGATATTGGTAAACACAAAAGTGCTGTGATCAGACACAGCAAGAAGGTTGGCGGGTCATAGAGTAAATTAAAATTTGCTTTCCACGGCCAACCTAACTCCTAGAAAATGAATTAGTTTCTGGTCAATATGACGTCAAAGATGGATGACGAAATCGAGAAAAGTGATGTCGCATCTTAAGTCGAAATAAACAGCCCAGGTAGTGATTAAACTTCAAAAGACGAGTAATTTGTCAGTTTTCAGTAACTCAGCCAAGTAAATGCACAAAATTTTACGAGTTATTTGTCGACAACCTATTTCCTCACATGCTTTATGTTCCTAAGAGATTAAATCATGATTTAATGTCGACAATTTCAAGAAACAATTTTGAATGATAAGTTGGTAAGTTAAAAAGCGCATTATTAATGCCCTATTTTGCCTGAAATCAATCCGAAAGAGTTCAGACGAAGTAGCGGACTTAAAGGGTGAACACATTTATGACTTAAGCAGATGCTGCAATAAATGAGTAGGACACTAGGCAATCTGCTACGCCATTTCACAGCAAAAAAAATTGTAATGCATCATAGATAAGTTCGACCACCAACCTAAAGCATTGGATTAGTTTATACGGAAACAGTTGAAGACGAAACCTCCTAACATCTGCATGCATAACAGCAACAATAATACTTATAATATCAATGATAATAATGCTCGAAAAGCCATATTTAACAAATAAATCGTTCGCTGTAAATTAGAAAATTCGAGATCCATAGTCCAGACAAAAGGGAGTGATGTTGTGTGGAGCCGCTGACCGAGAGTTTCATGCTTTGTTATTGAGATTTGCATTCTAGTCATCAAGAGGGAACTAATAACTCCCAAGCACGTGTGAGGCCCAATAAATCGTCCTGAAAATAAATTAAATAATACGACCCATCGGAGGCAATTTCAATAGCCACAGCTTTACAAGTCAATGCAATTTTTATTATGGACATCATTCTGTTGCAAAAAATGTTGGAAAAAAGTGACTGGACCACGGTAAACCCTTAGAGCGGCTATAACCGGGCAAAGAACAGAGAAGTAGCGCCTGTAAGAATGAGTTAATAGTTAGTTGTATTCTGACGCTAACCAATGGTGTCGACCAACCTATGAATTCTCCAAAAAGAGACCCAACACAAAGGTATCAACTCTTCAAAATAGCATAGCCAAAGAGGCCCACGATTGGTGAGTAAAGGACATGGGAACGAGGTCAATTGAGAGGATGCACCGACGCTTGACGGTAGTAAAGTGGAAAGCATTATTAAAGGACGTTAAGTCCATTAAAAAAGAGTATATGACGGCTTAAGATTGAATTCTACGTGATTTTGCCCCGAAGCGCGGATTTGTGGGGGAGACTGATCAGCCAAGGACAAAACAGGGTAATACAACCACGAAAGTGAAGAACCAACAATAAGTAACTGACCATGGCTAAAGCGATGTCAATCAGCACAAACGTGCCGGAGCGACCGACTCCAGCGCTGCAATGAACGATTCCAGGTCGATCGGGATCATCAAGGCCGCCTGTTCGGCGGACATCCCAAAGAAGATTCAGCATACTACTGGAGTATTCGGGAACCCCAAAATCGGGCCATCGAGTGTAGTGGAAATGCAGAACTTGGTGAGTGATGTTAGTCTAAAGATAACAGCTTTTAGGGAAACACCTAAAGACACCGGATGGCGAACCAGATAAGTAGCAGGCAGTGCCAGAACTTATGAAGTTATTCAATGCAGTGAATGGTACGAGAAGGGGGAGAAGACAAACTTCCAGCCATCAGTAAATAAACTCACCAAAACATTTGCAACTTCCAAGGTTCGAAGAGTATACAACCCCTTTCTTTCTTCCAAAATACACGAAACAGAACAGTTTGCGTCAGGGAAATTAAGTGTTTCAGCATAGTCAGGAAAATAATTAAAACACTTCAAAGCCCCTTTTTCAGTGAAACGGTTTAACATGATGATAACGGGACATTTCTGTTCCCATACCATTTGCCAAAAATGGCCCGCAGTTTGAAGGAGGGGGCCCTGAGTGAGTATGTAGCGTCGTGAAGGAACTTCTTTTACTTTTACGAAATTAGCATTTATGTAATCTCCCGTCGATTCACTCTCCAATAAAACTCGCGTTTCATCGTCTGAGAGCATCACAACACTATAACATACTTACAGGGAATAATGTCTCGATATCTATTTTTCCACCTATTTTCAACCTCATTAGCAGCAGATAATGTTAACTTGCAGCTTTCCACGGAGGCCAGATTCTGTATGCGCTACAAAAGATTAATAACAACTACCTTTACCTCATAAAACAATCCCCAAGAGCAACACTCATCGATTTGTTGGAATTCACGCTCCAAGGGACTAAGCTTCTGACGTTCGAGATTTGTCTGTGTGCTATGGCCGGAAGGCAGCAAGACAGCACCACATACAGACATTTTTGAAATCGCACCTCGCACTAGAGGTAAATTTAAAATTAAAGTGATTTAACGATGGGGTTACATTTTCAGATAAGGTGCTGGGTTCCAAAACATTACAATTCCATCCAACCGTCCGACCATAGGATAAACCGACTGGTTTGGGGAGAAAATTACACAGGTAAATATGATTTGTGTTTATGTGTCTGCGATGATGAAAAGTGACACAGCTAAATACTTTTGCAACCTGTATACAAACAGGTGCCTGGTTAAATTTGTAGCGTGCTATGCAAAATAGTACTTAGAATGAACCAAATGTTGTGTTAAAGCGAGCATCTCTGCCCTAACTTAAATAGCGCTACAAACGGAAAGCGCTTTAATTTACATTTGGTGTCTTAAGCCTTGGAAAATGACCAAAAATTACAGCATTTTCAGTTTGAGTATGCAAAAGTTTTGTCGTCGGATGTTGTTAACTAGCTCTCTGTCTTTTTTCGGTTCAAGCAAGTGGTAGACTACACCATAGAAATTGATGGCGCGCTAAATGGATAGTTGTGGGGTTGATCATGTGTGCTACTTTATTATGACGCTCCCGTCAGAGCGACTACTTAGTTCACATAATGATGTCATCTTCTGTATATTCTTCGGAGAAGTCATTCGTTGCGACCAGAAATTATCAGGAGAGCTCTAAAAAACGTCATACACCTTTGAACGTCTATTCACCACGCGCTTCATCAGAGGAGGATATCGGTTGTTGCAACAGCGACTTTTGCAACACCATAGTGAATTTCGATTCAAGCACAAAATCGAAAACCACGTTCTGCAATGCATTGCACGATACAGGTGGTAGTTTGGGTCTTCGGTCCTCCAGAATTCGGGGACGGAGTTCCAGCTCGCGGCAAAGATCCAATTCGTTGAAGTCGTATAAGATGGAAGAATTCACAAAGTTATATCTATTTGGCCCTGTTTTAAGGCGCATTAAATTGGAGTCTGCTTGGTTTGCTCCGTTGTCTCCTGTTCCAGTTCGTCAACCCGGTTTGGCATGGAATGGTGTGTATCGTCGGACTCCAATCTTGATCTTCTCTCCAACAGCTATGGTGTGCAAAGATAGTGGTGTGAAAATGCTAGCAGCCAAGTTTAATCTATCTTTTAAGCTAAACAGAGCAGACTGTCGGCTTCTTCGGACCATGATGCAGAGTCATGGTTTCGCTGAAGTAGATAGTCTTTCCTCTGAATTTAATTTAATGTGGTCAAATAGCCACATCAAACCCGCAGAACTGAGAGCCATGTACGATTTTCAAAGGGTTAACCACTTTCCGCGGTCGTACGAGCTCACAAGGAAGGATAAGCTCGCTCAGAACATCAAAAAAATGCAATGTCTAAAAGGACTGAGTAATTTTGATATAATTCCGAAGACGTTTGTTTTACCATCTGATCAAAATGAGTTGAGATCGAGCTATTTAAAGGGCCAAGGACCGTACATAGTTAAACCCATTGCGTCCTCTAGGGGTAGGGGTATCCACATCATTTGCAATCCTGATGCGATTAATGGCATGGATCAAGTTATTGTCTCTAAGTATGTGGCAAACCCACTCTTAGTTGACGGTTTCAAATTTGATTTGCGATTGTACGTTGCAGTCACGTCGTATTCGCCCCTTGCAATATATGTATACGAAGAAGGGTTAGTACGCTTTGCAACAGTGCGTTACCAGAAGGGCTCTAAACACTACAAAAATTTGTGCATGCATCTGACGAACTACAGTGTCAACAAGAAAAACCGTTACTTCGTCCATAATGATGATGCAGACATCGAAGACTTCGGAAATAAATGGTCGCTCGGTGCATTGTTGAGGTGAGTTTTTCCCAATGTACGATCAACGCTAAGCAAAATGCCGCATATAATCTATGAGGTTGTCAATTCCAGGTATTTGAGGGGCGAAGGGAAGGATACAGCCGCATTGATGCTTCGTATAGAAGACATCATAATCAAAGCTTTCATTGCGGTCGAGGATCCAATTAACCAAGCCTGTCGCCTCTTTATGAGCTCAAAGTCCAATTGCTTCGAGCTGTATGGATTTGATATAATCGTTGACGACACTTTTCGACCGTGGTTATTAGAGGTATTTTAGGTCGTTAGAATAAGGATTTAAAGAAGAAGGACTAATATTTTGATAAAACGGTGTTCTTCCCTTTGAGCAGGTCAACCTATCACCATCATTGGCTTGCGATACACCTCTTGATTTCAAAGTAAAATCAAACATGCTTTCAGATTTATTAAACTTGGCTGGAATAATATGCTGCGATCCAACAAAGCGATGCAAAAAGGGGACTTGTGGAACTTCCATGTTCACTTCACCCAAGCATCCCACTTACTTCGTGGCCGCTCAAAAGTACACTAATGAGGAAAATCAAACCCTCCCTTCGATAGGTAAGCTTAATTACCTCATTTTGCATCCATAAAAGGACATCACAATAGCTCTCGTTTGCGTCATCATTGATGGGCCACCACCTTCATAAGCACTGGAAGGTTTGAGAACCAGAGTTACGCCCAGCTTCTTTAGTGTGCTTGAGAATGTCACATAAGTGGACCTAAGAAGCTCCGCCCTTCAACTTGCTATCCCAAACTTGATCCATCCGCGCAGTACTGTTGTGACACATAAATCGTAAATGATCATCTTCTCTGCTGTAAACAGATCCGGTCTCGTTGAATACAGTTTTTTGCATGTATTTGTGGAAACAGATGATCAATGGTCAGATTCAAAGATTGACAAATAAATGTATTTCTTGGGTTTATAAGTGTTCAACTTTAGAGCCTGATTCGAAGCACCTGCCAACAGATTACCGTTGATCGTCCCTTAATACATTGCAGGCATCCAGAAACCATCACGTTCTACTTGCGCTAGAGAACCGGATACATCTCTTCCAATGCATAAGATTCAGTCCAAAATCTCAGCTTCCTCGGAAGAGATGACATTAGAAGAGCAACAACTTGTGCGCCGTTTTCAGGAAGAAACAGCACGCTGTGGAGGGTGGCTCCGAATCTTCCCTTGTAGAGAGACGTGGACTCAGTACGCTAGTCTTCTCTACGGCAATAGCCAAGCAGAAATAATTGACATTTCCCTGCCACGATGGCGTTTCTCCATGGCCCCAGCTTCAACTCGCACTCCCATTGCCATAACCAGTGGTACAATACAGAGGACTGGCCGTCAAATCGACGAGGCCTTCCTCGTTCATGCTTCTGCCACAATGGCCGTTTCGGCCATGCAAAGGGCCAGTTCACTCAGGCTTGAGACAATGACTAAGACCGTTGACGGAGAAGTCACCTTAATTCATCCAAATCTCATGACCCCCAAGGTTAACATTGGAATGTTTACAGGCTTACCAATTCCAGGGAAGGGTTTACCCTCACCTTCAGATGAAGATGAGAACAGTGACGAAAAGCTTCTGGTTCACATGCCGCCACTACATGCCGATGACTCAGATGCCCTAATACCAATTCACAGCCTAACTACAAGTGTTCTCTCTGAGTACCTGATGATTGGTCTTGGATTCAATCTTCAAGCCCCAAGCACTAAAAAAGAACAGGCAAATCGTGTAACCGCATGTTATTGCCAGGCTCTGGGGCGACTTCCATTTTACCACAGGAAGATCGGGACCCTGCCTGTGTGCATACGGGGTGTTTGTCTGTTAGCGGGATGTAGTCACCAATCCGGGGGACCACGTCTTTGTGGAATGTGCGGCAACGAGGACACCGCTAGTCCATATGACTCTTATCATGCCGCCTCAACATTTGTAAACCTTCTCGATGCAGAACACGTGGGTCAGCTTTACAAACAACCAAAGAATGAAGTTCCCATTAAACCAATGACTCAGTATCAAGCACGAATAACATTTTCCACCTATCTTTCAAGGATTTACTCTCGCTTTAAAGCACACGTCATGGCAGAAGATAAAAAGCAGGAATATGTAGTTTCGAAGAAAGCCGATAAACAGGCTGATCTTATTTTGCGATTTTTGCAGAAAGCTGCCCTCAAATTATCTCCACAGGCAGTCAAGTGGTTTTACAATGTGCATAACAATGATGCTAGTGTTCAAAGGATGCTGAAACATGGTGTCTTTCAGGTTCCAGATTTTCCCACAAATTCAAGATTAAAAACAAAGAGGAAGATTTTAGTTTCCTTGCTAGATAAATTTATAAAAATCTATGACCATGAAACCGCACTAGGCTGCGTGGAAGAAGGATCTGGAGAAGGTGATGGAAGCGGCGATGCCGATTTTTGCCGATTTATAAAAAATGCTACTGAGAACGAACTTGAGGTGATCCTGAGTCAGTACACACGCACCTTCCATTCACTGAGCCTTTTCACCCGGCAGCCTTCGAAGTATGTGGTCCTACAATTGGAGAAAAGTGAGATAGCATCTACGAACTCCAGAATAGAAATACACACCAACCCACACAAGCTCTGCAAACGAGGAACTGCAGCATCGATCCAGCGTTTAGCTGATGTGCCAAGGGAGGCTAACAACAAAGTGAATGGATTGGGATCGCATGAGACCCAAAATAGACGCATTGGAATTGCAAGTCCATTGTCTCAGTTCAAATCCAATGAGAATCAGCATCTTCGAAATTCCACAAAAAGTGCTATTTCAACTAAACGTAGCAGGTCCACCAAGTTCAGATCCTCGGTGGGATGCACCGGAAATAACAAAGATTCAATGCTGGATGTCCCCCCTTCAAGGTTTGGGGAGACAATTTTGAAGCAAACGAATATGACCAAAGTTGCTTCAAATGAAACTATCAATCTTGGCCCACTGGAGGGAGCTTTTAAGGGAGTTCTTCATGATAGCGGAAGTGACGTTTATTATGGCGGCTACGAAGGCCATGACTTTTGCGCTGTTGAGTGTTGCAATGTCCGCGAGAAATGTGCCTGTCTATTTGGATTTCTAAATTGTAGTGAGGCGGACGTATGCGATATTAGTTCGCTGGAGGAAAACTAATTTTTTGAACTTTTGTTCTTCAAAACTTAATGACTTATGCGCATTTTAAGTTGACTAGAAAGCGGAATTTCATATGGGAATTGTGGTGGTCTAGAGCTTCAAAACTTACTTTAGTTCATGGAATGAACAGCAATGAGGTTTGATTATCGGCGCGAACTTTACTTCGCCTTCCATTAACTATCAAAGCACTGGTACAAAAGGAGGCAAAATGTTCTTGTTAATTTCGCATCACTAGGAAGGCAATATGATTCTCATGCAGCCTATTGGGACGCACGAGATTTTGCTGCGGATAAGAAGAGGTATCACCTTGAAGATATGACGTGTTGGTGCCATACAGCTGAGCTAAGAAACTACTAACACCATAGAGACACCTTCAGTCGAATTCTCTTTCTTTTAAATGTTATGTGACATTTATTTTTTCTTAGACCCGAGTGGATCAACATAACCATAGTGGGGAGTAAAAGGTCAACTTCCCCTTGGCGTCGAGGGAATTGACCTTTCCCTCATGGTCAAGGATAGGTTTAGATTCTCGCCTCTCACACAAGAGGTGTTTTTAAAGAAATAGACGCATAATAAACTTGCTCTGGAGACTAATATTTTCGTATGGGGTTAATTGGTGAACTCTTGGGAATTGTTTGTTAAAATCAAACGCTACACAGCATTCCAGTATCTCTCACCAGCTGGCACTACAATGAATACATTTACGTCTGGTTTAATGGTCGTTTGTACGTGCAACGTCGGATTCCTACTTCATGGTTTCGGCGATGGTCCATTTCGGAGTTCCACAGAGGCTGACTTCGAGTCATGCCAGTACGTCGAGCATGCTGCCCAGATGACAAAGGAAAGTAAATTCCGTCGTAACTAACATGTACCTCATTTTTTTCTGCTGGATGCCAAACTGTAATGGAAGAGGAGGAAAACATGTGTATTTTACCGATGGGGGATCAAATGAAAATACTTAATAGAAGAACTGAAAAAACTACATTCGTTGTCGAATCAATCCCATAATATGAAGGAAAGTTACTAGTGCAACCAGATTGGCTCTTGCCGTGAAAAACATGGAACTTAATGTTGTACTAACTGGGTCTGTATGGGGACATTAATAAAGTGAAAATGCAATACTTCCTCTAAGTATTTGCAGCAGCGTAGATCCGATCTGTGAACAAATCGAGGAGAAGCTCAGGAGTGAAGTCCTGTCTACTTTCATACAACTGGTTCTGAGCTAGCTTGTCTTCTATTATGTTTAAATACGCATAATAGCTAGAACAATCCTTGTCCTTGTTTCCGGTTCCCATACACAACAGAATTCCCACAACCAATGCTGTCCTCATTGGCGAAGCTGCCATTAATCACCATAAACACATTAAAATCGACTGTTGGGAATGTTGGGTCATGGACGTGTCTCAACGACGCTTTTGGTTTGAGACAACCGATGAGGAAGTTTATTTTACGGCAAGTGCCGAAGACTAAAATCAACAAAGCGAAAGTATAGTGCATTCTGGTTGTTTGTTTAGCCTTTGATTTTGGCAAAGAGGAATTATTGATCTTCAGTGCCAACAATTGCGTTTTCAGGTGGCCCGTAAACCGTAGCTCAAATGTCCGAACGTTATACCCCTTTTACGATCAGGAAAGTCTCACAGCGTTATAGATCGTTCATGTAAAATTTTATTTGTGTGACCATCTGTTTGACTGGCGGGCACGTTTATATTTTTCCTGATCTTGTGCTCTCGAGCTGGCCTTCGGGCCAATTCATAGCCCATTTTCCTCCGTTTTGGCCTTAAATACACGTATTTATCCCTACATAGTGGGAGGTCTCGAGCACTAAAATTGGAATACGCATTACTCCTTTAAATATATTTTGTGGATGG